CAAAAAAGATTAGCCACAGCACTTGGCTAACTGAGCCAACATAGTGGGGATAAAGAGGCTGGAGACACAGGTCATCCTTAGGATGCAGGTTCAAGCCACAGCACTCGGAAAGAATGGGACTAGACATTGGGAGATGGCTTGCTCAGTTGGTAAAGTGTCTGCTGTGTGATCATGAGGACATGAGCTCAGATCCCCAGCACCCGTGTACTGTAGCATCAGTGATGGGAGGTGGGCCCAGGTGCATCTCTAGAGCGCATTAACCAGCCAGCCTAGTCGGTCCAGGTTCAGGGTGAGACTCCATCCAAAGACATGAGAACAATTGGAGAAGGCACCCAACATTGACTTCTGGCCTCCACATGCACTTGACTTCTTTGCGCACATGCGCACACGCGCGCGCGCACACACACACACACACACACACACACACACAGAGAGAGAGAGAGAGAGAGAGAGGGAGAGAGAGAGAGAGAGAGAGAGAGAGAGAGAGAGAGAGAGAGAGGAAGCACGGGAGCTCGCACACCCACATCCACATGGGATGGCATGGGATGGAGTGGCCAGGGGGACCAAACACGCACATGGAGGAGGTGTGTGCCTGAAGCACAGCAGACATTGTGTGAGAAGTGCTCTCCGTTCAGCCACTGAGATCTGCAGGATTGTGTCACAGCGGAATCTAGCCTGTCAAGCTATGCCCAGGTTCAGTCATGATGGTAATTATGGTCCTCATGGCTGGGAGGGTCATGTAACAGTTCTGGCCGATGAATCATAAGTGGAAGTCATGGGGCTTGTTTGTCTTTTAGGTAAGGTCTTTAAAGGAATTAACTCAGTGGACACAGGCAGTTTCTCTTTTTACCCTTCCTCTTCTTTTTCTCAAGTGTAACATGGGGGCCAGACCTGGAAAAGACATTGACAACAAGAGGACTTGAATTTACCTTAGAAGGACCACAGGGCACAAGGATGGAATGGGACCACTCTACTGATAGTATCCACAGCAGCTATACTGTGGACTTCCATGGCTGAGCTTCATTTTGATAAGGGAAAACAAATTTCTGTTTCGTTTCAGAAAACAAGTCAATGGCTTGGGGGTTTCTATTCTTAACTGCACACCACAAGTTTTGTTTTGTTTCTCCTGTGGAAGCTTTAAACACTTCGGATATGAGTGAGAAGTCATCCCCCAGCTTCGGTGACAATCAGCTCATGGCCAAGTGTGTCTAACTCACACCCCTGGACTAGTCATTTTTCTTGTTTCTGTGGCAGACTACCTGACCGCCTTTGAAGGAGGATGCGTTTATTTTGGTTCTCAGTCGAAGAGGACACAGTCATCCTGGTGGGAAAGGTGCAGTAGAGGGAGCCCTGTTTCCGGTCATTGCATCTTCAATCGGGAATCAGAGAGAGATGAGTCCTGATTTTCGCTCCCTCCCTTTGATTCAGTCCATGACCTCAGCTCCTGGGGTGGTCCTGCCTATGTTCAGGGTGGAGCTTCCCCCTGTCAAACATCTCTGGGAATACTGGCGCAGACACATCCAGAGATGTGTCTTCTAGGAGGTTCTAAATCCAATCGCATTGAAAACACCAACCATCATGTCCATATTTCCCCTTCCTGGCTTGGCTCTTGCAGTTAACCCTGCATTTCTCCTGGATGCCCAGCTGTCCTCTGCCCACTCTCAACAGGTCAAACTCCTGGGCCTCCCACCTAACCCCATTTTCTATATTGCTCATGGCCTTAGGTGGTGAGATTTTCATATTTTTTTGGCTTCTTGTCTGTGTCTTAGGCCTCTTTTAACCACACATCCTTTTGGCATTTCTTTTTTCCAGTGTCTTGGAAGTCGAGGAATATTGGCTCTTACACAGTCCCAATGTGTAATGGAGGAGGGTTCTGGGTTCACACAGACAGTTCCCAGATGCAGCACCTGGATATCTTGCAACCTCCGAGCCACACAATCCCCAGATTGCACACTCAGATTTCCTATTGGGGTGAGCTTCAGGGAACAAATGGAGGCAGACACAGGTAGGGGCTGTGGTAGTAGCTCAGCCTCCTCATACTCTGTGCTGTGGATGGGGTTGTGTTTCTCCCGGTATGATAGCATTCTTTTTCTGCTCTTCGCTTACCTTCTACCTCCTGTCATCCTCTGTACCCCAACTTTGAGAACTTCCTTTTGCTCAGATGTCTCTGTTTCCTCGACATAGTTACTAGTAGTGTCCCTTTTAACTCTCAGTCACTCTCTTTAACGTCAGATTCTGTGCGAAGTCTTTTATTGTCACATGAACTCACGCATCACAGCTTGGGCAGTGGTCAGAAACTTTTTCCCCCTTCAGAACACTCCAGCTTCTCTATATGACAGACATTTGCTCCTAGACTTCCCATCAAACTCCATTTTTAGAGGCAAAACCAGTCAAAGACTGTATTTGCTTAAGGTCTCATATAACCCAGACTGCTTGGATCTATCCTTGGACTTTTGATCCCCCTTCCTCTACCTCCTGAGTGCCGGGATTACAGGCACATGCTACCAGGCCCAGTTTCTGTGGTGCTGGGGATCAAACCCAGGGCTTCGTGCATGCCTGCATATGCTAAACTACATATCTAACCCTGATCAAAGACTCCTCTCCAGACACCAGGCGTTTCTCCCCTGATGGGATGGGGATGGGGATTACGTTCTGTCCCGTTAATGTTCCTAGAATGACATGGCAGTGGCTGTGGCCACTTCATCTTGGATTGGTGTGCGTGGCAAAGAAAAGCAGAAGATGTGACAGGATGGTGACCTTGGAGCTGTGTGATCAGAGCTATTGGGTGATTTATCAGGTGAGGAACTTGAGAGCACAGAGTAAGACTTTGGGGACAAGGAGACGAGATGCCACCTGTGGAGCCATTGCATGATGGACCTTTAATGGATTCTTAAGAACCCTATAGTCTGAACCAGTCTGAGGATTAATATATCTCTTTATTAATAGAACGATCTGGGGCATATATCTCCTGGTAATGCACACATCAGCAGGGGAGTAACAAGAGTGAAGTTCCAGGTCCTTCCAGAGTACACTTGGGCCCACCCCTGTCCTGAAACTGTAGGTCTGGCCCTTCCCCGTTTCAATGCACATAGTCACAGGAGTATCTTAGGCAGCTGGTTCTCAGCAACAGTGAGGAGCAGCAGGGTTCTGTGGGGCCTGCCTTTAAAGGGTGTTCCTGTAACCTTGCCCCCACTGAGAAAAGGGGGCTTACTTGAATGGCTGCAGAAAGAATACTGTATGCAAAATAAATAAATAAATAAATAAATAAATAAAATTTTTTTTAAAAAAAGATTACATAGGCTTGTTGGAAAGCATTTAATTCAGCAGTTTCCAATTGCAACCACACACTGGACTCTTTTTTCTGTGTTGTTATTGTTTTTGTTTTTTTGAGACAGGCTGGCCTGGAATTCACTTTGTTTACCGCTGTCCTTGAATTCACAGAGATTCTCCTACCTACCTCCCTAGTGCTGGGATTAAAGGCGTGTGCCACCACCACCACTTGGCACACATTGGACTTTTGATGCAGACCTCACCCCAGCATACTCCAAAGGAGAATCTCTGACTGGATGGTATTTTTCAATGGCTTAGGAGAGGCTCATGTTCTAACAGGAGGATCAGAGTCTTCAGCCCTTGCCAGCCTGGGTTTTAAACACTTCTCACTGTTGAGATGGCAACAACAGGACCCGTCTGGGAGAACTTCCCTCGTGCCTGGCTTCCATCTTACCCGTCTCACCTCACCCCTGCCTGTGAGAAGCGGGAGAAGAGCGCTAGCTGGAGTTTGTAGAGGGGTCCCTTGGAAGAACGACATCCGTTCCGAAAGTCAGGTGCCCAAATGCTTCCCTGTCATCTGCAACTATGGGAGGTGATGAGAGTAAACTGAACTCTGAGCTCTCACATCTGCTTCTGCTACTCTGGAAGCTCCTACACACACACACACACACACACACACGCACACACACACTTGCACAATGCACACACATGTGCATGCATGTCACATGTACATACACACACATGCACACACAGGGGGAGTTGGGATTGGGAAAAACCTTCTCCAGCAATAATGCCATGAAGATTCCTGCCTCTTGCACACCTACTAGCTTCCTTTCTTACCTTCCATTCAGGGCCAGCCACTCCCAGATTCTAGGGAGAGGAAAATCTGAGGTTTCTCAGATTTTCAAAATGAAGTTCAGACTCCTGAGGGACCCAGCTAAGAGGTGCCTTAAGCTTAGAAACAAGGCAGAAATGAGAGAGATGAGCCAAGACAGTGAGAGACCAGCAAGCTGAGTTCCGGCAGCAGCGGCTGAGGCTGGCCCAGCAGAGGTGACAGTCCTAGGGGGGCCAGCCCAGCTGCTTCTGAGGACAGTAGAATCTGAAGGCTGTGAGCCCAAACCCATGGCCTCCAGTCCTACCCTGCTTGTGTATCCATCCGACCTGCCCCCTCTGCTCCCAAGCCATGCCTGCTTCTCCCAGGGAGTGGCCAGCAGAGGGAAGGAAGCCTTGATGCTCAGCCTCAGGGGACAGAGGCAGCAGCTGTGACTCCACTCAGCTCTGGTCATCCACAGGGCTGGCTCTGGAGCACAGCTTCCCCCACAAGCCCACGGGACACGTGTGTCCTGCTGCTGCTCCGCTGAGGTGTGCTGTCCTCCTGGCTCCCTGCCAAGCCCTGTGCTGGCCCTCAGGGCCCTGTAGTTCAGGATATGGAATCCCTGTTTTCCCAGTTGGCCCTGCTTTTGAAGATTTTTTAAGATGTTTAGACAGGAACCACAGAAGAGCAAAGCGCAAGGCCTATCCCCATGGTGGAGGGACCTCCATCCAGCTGATGGAGGCATCAACAGCTGGCCTGAGCCCTGCAGTCCCTTTTGCGCAAGATTGGCTAAGAATGACATTAGGAGCAGGGGCCTAAGATGGGTCTCTGGACAAGGGCACTGTGCCACACCAGGGAATATTTCTCAATGGAAGGTAAAGAAGTTAGGTGCTAAATTCTCTCTGAGGGTCCAGTCTATGGTCAGTAAGTGTCTTTATTGGGAGGGAGATCCAGACCCCCATGGCTTTGCCAGCACCCTAGGTCATAAGAATTTCGATGTCAATCTCCAGCCGGCTGGCTTTGACCTCATAGTGACCCCGGATCACGCCTCGGGTTTGACTGGCATGCCAGCGCCAGTGAGACTGGATGATGCGGGCTGCTTGGCGTGCCTGGAGGAATCGTCTGCGGGTCTGCCACATGCGAACGTGTGCCTGCATCTTCACCACTGCCCATTCCTGGCAGGTATAGAGTTTTAGTGCCAAGGACCGTCTTTGCTCCAGCATCTTGGTTTGCACCGACCTCCACCAGCACTGTATGGCCCAAGCTCCAAGTGCCGCATGCAGTAGTGTTCGTCGGACCACGTTGCCCCGCCACCATGACTGAATCTTTATGGCTGTCTTCTCTAACTGATGGAGGGGGGGACATAGAGATGTTCAGTGGGGCCATTTCTCTGCCATTTCTATCTCCACTTCTAGTACTTGGGAGGAAAGGGGACTTGGCTTGGGCTGTCCTGCCCTGTCATCTCTAGACCCCATTCATCTTATCTCCAGCCCCTCCTCACCTTTACACACTGCTCATCTGCCAGGGGGTTCTCTTCTGAAAGGGCTGAGCTCACAGTTTGTACGTCCATGGCCTTGGTCTTTACAGTCCCCTCACCTGTCATTTAGGCTTCCCTAGTTTTCAGCCCCACCCTCAACTATTAGTCACATGCCATCATTAGACTCCGCCCATCTGCACAGGAGCTTTCTCCTCAGGCCCTGTCTGCCTGCATTTTAACCACAGCCTTGCTTCCTTCTGGACTGGGCGCTCTATTCATGTCCTCCCATGCTTAGGGTGGACTGTTTTCTGTGCCTTCAGTTACTTCTCAGACTCCTCTCCACCTGCTGGTAGCAGTGGGGAGCCATACAACATAGTTAAAGGTCCTCAGAGCCATTGGAGGTGTGGGGAGGCTTCAGTATCAGGGCTCCTGGGAGGGCGCTAGGCAATGGAAAACAAAAAAAAAATGTGTATTTTTGTCCACATTTCTTAGCTTTGATTAGAGCGGGCTTCTGCCTTTTCTTCCCTAAACTCCTCTGTCAAGTCTCCTGGGGCTTTGTGTGGAAAGACAGCTTCTTTGGGGATGCGATGAACAGAGCTAGGATATGGCTGGCTTAAATTAACAGCGTAGCCCTGTGTGCGTCACAGTTGCCTGTGAGCACAGGGACTTCTGCTATTCCTGTCATTCTGCAGCTGCTGTGTTCATTCACCCTTTGTCACAGCATAAAGATGTAAGGATAGAGGTACCGCTATTGTGACATCCACGTGTCCCGCAGAACCTGGCACCAAAAGTAAGTGGATCTGAAAGGAAAAGTAAGGTTTGGAAAGTAGGGAGCCAGAAACCTACTGGAGAAAACCCTTCCTCATGCCAGGTGCATGATTCCCTGAGCTGAAGAGTCTATTTTCATCACTATCTTAAAAATCATCTGTTTTTACATAAGTGTGCCTGAGTGAATGTATGTATACCATATGCATGCAGGGCACTGTGTAGGCCAGAAGAGGGCATTAGATTCTCTGAAACTAGAGTTACAGTGGTTGTGAGCTGCCATGTGGGTGCTGGGAGCCAAGCCTATGTCTTCTATGAGACCAGTAAGTGCTCTTAATTGCTGAGTCGTTTCGCCAGCCTCTTATCAACGTTTGGCTAAAGCTGAAGTTCTTTGTTGTTGAAAACATACCTGGTGACGCAATGATACAAGTATAAACGTGGATAATTTTCTTTCTTTTCTTCTCCACCTACATTTTTGTTAATGTAGAACTGGGAATTAAACCCAGAGCTCTCTACATGCTAGGCAAGCACCTGTCTACCCAGGTGTCTCCAGTCATTTCTTTTCTTTTATTGATGGGAGTTTTGTGAGATAGAATTGGTCAGAATTAGGACTGAAGATCTAGCTCAGTGGGTAAAGTGCTTGTGCGAGCCTAAGCCCCATGCAGAATGCTGGCCAAGGCGGTGTTCACCCAGAATCACATACCTCTGCCCTATACAGAATGCTGGCCAAGGTGATGTGCAACCAGAACCTCATACCTCTGTCCCATGCCGAATGCTGACCATGGTGATGTGCACCCAGAATCACACACCTCTGCACCCATGCAGAATGCTGGCCATGGTGATGTGCACTCAGAACCACATACCTCTGCACTATGCAGAATGCTGGCCGAGGTGGTATGCACACAGAACCACACATACCTCTGCCCCATGCAGAATGCTGGCCAAGGTGGTGTGCACCCAGAACCTCATACCTCTGCCCTGTGCAGAATGCTGGCCACGGTGATGTGCACCCAGAACCATATACCTGGGAGAATGGATAAAGATGGAAATCGTGGGTGCTCACTGGCCAGCCAGCACAGTCCAAATGGTGGGCTCCTGGTTCAGTGAGAGACTCTGTTGCAAAAGGCGGGAGCAACTAAGAAAGGCTTCTGAAGAAGTTGACCTCTGGCCTCCACATGTACATAGCATAGGTGAACAACTACCCCCACATGAATATACATGCATACAAAACACACACACAATTTTTTAAAGAATTTCTCAGAATCTCTGTGATTATTGGGCTAATGTGAAGAGAACAACAATGTGGAGGTTTGCAAGAAAAATCTCATGATTTAAGCATCTTAAGTGTCAGTATTTTTTTTTTCAGAAAACAATATAAAATCATCGCATAAAGGAATACTCAAAGTACATACAGCTTAAAGTATAGAAAAGTGTTCTAGAGGTGAGCCAGTTAGTATAAAGAAACACGGTGAGCATGAGCTATCAACCAACTTTCAAAAGCTGGTGACTGGCTCTGATGTCCTGTCCGAAAAGGCTCACTTAACTTTGCATCTGCAATTCTGTGTGCTTTGTACTTTTCTGGAAATTGACCTTCTAAATGCCATAAGCTTCAGGCCCTACAAAACCTGAATCGTTCCCTTCATGCTGGGAGCATGCCATTGTGTAGCCAGATCTCCTGGGAGCTCACCACGTACTCTGTTTCCAAGACTCAGCATTGGGATTGGAGCCCAGTGATCCAGGAACAAAAGAACGAGAATACAGAGCCGACACAAGCCCTTTGGGGTTTGCGAGGCCATTCTGGTTTCAGCACGATTGCTCCTTTCTCTATGTGGGAGTTTTTTGGGTGTGGATGGCTACAGGACCGTACACCACCCACGGCTCCCGTTTATACGCATTTGAGGCGCCTGTTGCCTCATACACCAGCGTGGAGCTATCCAACTGAATGCGTCCCAGGTCCAAACAAACTCTTCACATCGTGTTCAAAGTCCTGAAAAGAATTCTCCGTTCTCCGGTTGGTGGCTCTCTAGCTGGGCGAGAGCGCACAGCTGTCAGTCATCCCAAAGGCGTTCGTCTTTGTGGTGAACCCCCCTGAGCTGACATCAGAAGTCCGCGGATCCCACAGAGGGGGCTGTCACTCTGCCTATCGAATGAGGTTGCTGTGGTCCAAATGCCACTTCACTCCCCACTCTTGCTTATGCATCTCCCCCTCCATCCTGGCTTTGGGGGAGGTTGCCATGGTATCCTGGCTTCATCTCCTTTTCGGATGAACTTGAAAAAAAACCTGTTTGTCCCTTCATGCTCACATATTTTTTAGTTTCACAGTGGCAGCTGGTGTGCTGGGGAGTGCTGGGGTCTGACGCTGGTTCGAGTGTGCTCCATCCTCTAGAAAGTTCCTGTGCTGTAAACTTGTCCCTAAAATGGCTGTACTGGGTGATGAGACATCTAAGGGTGAGGGCTTAGCGAGAGGCCTTATTACTGGGGTGCTGCCTTACAATTGGATTAATGGTTCCAGAGTCCTGAAAATCCCCACTCAAAGCTGTTGAGAATAAAACCAATTTCTGAACTACCCTCTGGCTTCCCCATAACTCCACCGTTCAGATGCCACCCACCATGAGCCAATGCTGATGACAGGCCCTTGAATCTCAATAACTATGAGTTAAGTGAGCTGCTTTTCTTTGTAAAGTTCCTTGGCTTCAGGTCCTTTATTACAGCAATAACAAAATGGGCTAAGGCAAGAGGTGGGATGAGCTCCCTGATTCTTACTAAGTAGTCGTAGGCCATGCTATTTGCTCTGTTTCCTCGTATCTCCCTCCCCATACAAACAGACTGTGAGGCTGGAGGCTGAGGTGGGGTGGCCTGCTCTACCACCCTCTACCATATTCCCATGAGTCTCTCACTGAACCTGGAGCTAGGTCAGGTAGCTAGTACATCCCAGCAATTTTCCTATCTCTGCTCACCACAGCTCTGGAGTTACAGGTGTACATTCCACCAAGTCCAGCTTGTTATGGGGTGTTTGAACCTCTCAGGCTCATATGGTAAACACTCTTACTCATGGGGCCATTTCTCCGGCCCCATGTTCCTGCTTGCTTGATTTTTTTCTGATTTAACATGTGATATATTTATTTCTCTTTTTGAAAACATGACTATTCATCCCATGCTTCCTTCTGACCTTTCTTTTTTATTTTTTATTTTATAGGCATTAGTGTTCTGCCTACATGTATGTCTGTGTGAGGATGTTGGGAGTAATCAGAGACTGCATTATTTTCCCAGCTACCCAGACCCGAATAATCAAATAAAAACTATATTAATTACAATACTGTTTGGCCTATTAACTCAGGGTTCTTCTTAACTAACTCTTACATCTCAAATTAACCCATTTCTATTTTAATCTATGTATCACCATGAGGCTGTGGCCTACCGGTAAGGTTCTGGCATCTGTCTCCTTCGGCAGCTACATGGTGTCTTTTTGACTCTGCCTACTGTCTCTCTTTATCTCTGGTCAGATTTCCTGCCTGGCTATATTCTGCCCTGCCATAGGCCAAAGCAGATTCTTTATTAACTAATGGTAATAAAACATATTCACAGCATATAGAGGGGAATCTCACATCAGTTGGGTTCCCTGGAACTGCAGTTACGGACAGTTGTGAGCTGTCATGTGGGTGCTGGGAATTTTTTTCTTTCTTTTCCTTTCTTTTCTTTTCTTTTCTTTCTTTCTTTCTTTTTTTTCTCTTCTTTTCTTTTCTTTTTTTGAGACAGGGTTTCTCTGTAGCTTTGGAGTCTATCCTGTAACTCGCTCTGTAGACCAGGCTGGCCTTGAACTCATGGAGATCCTCCTGTCTTTCTTTCTTTTTTTTCTTAAAATTTGCTCTCATTTTTTATGTGCAGTGGTGTTTTGCCTGCATATATGTCTGTGTGGGTGTCAAGTGCCCTGAAACTGGAGTTACAGACGTTTGTGAGTTGTCATTAGGTACTGGGATTTGAATCTGGGTCCTCTTCAAGAGCAGCCAGTGGTGGAACAGTGTTTTAATGATGGAGAAAGTGAAGTTATCATTTCACTTTCTTTATATTGGTACGTAAAAGGTTTTACTTTCCGTGAAATCTGTGATGGTTTGAATGAGAGCGGCCCCCATAGGTTCAGGTGCGTGAATGAATACTTGGTCCCTGTTTAGTGGATTGTCTGTGAAGGATTAGGAAATGTGGCCCTGTTGGAGGAGCCGTGTCACTGGAAGTAGGCTCTGAGGTTTCAAAAGACATGTGTCGTCCCCATGCCCCCTTTGTTCCACTATCGTGAACTCAAATTCTCTGAAACCATAAGCTCCAAAGTGGATGCTCTCCATTGTAAGTTGCTTTGGTCGTGGCGTTTTACCACCAATAGAAAAGTAACACAAGATCTAATTCTCTGCTTTGCCTCTGTTGCTTATGCTGTGGTATCGTAACTAAGGAAACTGCAAAACCCCGGATTGTGAGGAGTTGGTTGCATGCTTTCTTTGAAGGAATTTTGTAGTTTTATCTCTTGCAGTAACAACTTCGGTTAATGTTGAATTGGTATTTGTAAACGATGCCTTTAGAATCCAACCACTCACCTTCATGGTGGTACCCAGTTGTTATAACATTTTGGTAAAGAGAATGTTGCACCCCTTCCCCATTTTTGCACTCTTGTTAAAAATCAACTGAACATAGCTAGGCTAGGTGGCTCATCTCTTTTAACCAGCACTCAAGAGACAGAGGCAAGCGGATCTCTGTGGGTTTGAGGACAGCCTGGTGTATATAGAGAGTTTCA